GCAGAACATTGCGCCGGCCATCGATGTTGAATTAATAAACAAGATTTGAGGTACTACTCTTATATTTGTTCACTTTCGAAGCAGCCTTACTGACAAAAACCATGATGAAGCAGATCACGCAATCAGTTAAACTTGAAAAATCAAGAAAACTTTCCTTCTTTACCAATCTTTCCAAGTCATGGATAAATGGAAAAATAGCATAATCATGATGGAAATTGGCTTTTGATTGAAGAAAAGCATTTTTGGAAAAATGCACAACAAAAATTTGCACCAGAGAGAACTCGAACTTGTATGACTTACCTAGCAAAAGCATATTGGCCACAACACCACATATTACTTATTACTAGTCTTGAACTTTGCTGGTTCACAACATTTTTATAAAATCGTTTAGAAAGAGTTTGTTATTTGGTTCTAAGGCTGCTCTTCTTGTACAATCTCTTGAGCGGCCACCGCCACTTAGCATCCTTCTATTATTAGCAAAAAGTAATTGGAAATACATTGCTTAACGACTCAATCAAAAGTTAAAAACAATCTTGATGAAGCCTTTGTTAAAACTTCAGTAAAGAAGTTGTGAGCAAAAACTTCGATCGTTGCAATATTTTGAATGCACAGTCTTCAACTCCAGCTACCTTTTTTTGCACTGATATTGACTGTCTTTAATCTACGTCATCAGCGCTCAAAAAATGCAATAGATTGAAGGCGGAGCCTATTCAATCAGAAACCTAATCGTTTAGCAACTATGGCGTAGAATTTCCTCAGAAGAAAAAGATACCACCAGCTTTACTTTGTTTTCACAACTCCAACAATAAATTGTAAAGGAAGTTTGCGCATAGAAAAAATTTTTACGACGAAGAAAATGTTAGTTCTTCTTTTATAATGAAAAATCTTTGAAATAGCATGATTTAAATGTTACAAAAAACCTTTATATTTCCAGTGCAAGAGGGGAAGGGGGAAAGAAAAGTGCGTAAAATTTCTTATAAGATAGGATGTTATCAAAAAACTAACCAAAAAATGCCCATCTGCTGCTCTTTATCAAATTCTAGCAACTTGTTTTCATAAATGGTCCTCACACGCAATTGACGTTTCACGGCAGAAATTAAAGGAGGTCGTTGGAAAAGAGCACCGGTTAACTGAAACATTTTACCT